CTCCCAGGGTATCCCCCTCTCTCTGTTCATTGACATGATGTTAATGAACACTCGTGGTTCTCCAGGCTTCGTTTGTGCAGTTGAAACTCCTCAGGCGTTCATTAAAAAGACATTCTCAGACATATACACAGTTTTATTTGTAGGCTTATTACAGCTCTTCACACCTCGTCAAACAGGACAAACTGACATTCGTTGGTATCACCAGGAGGGTGCTGACATACTGTAAGCAATGTGCATTTGCTGGACTCATCTTTATGGCATCTGATTGTGATTTAGTTCCAGTTCCTCATGAGAATTGCTTGGTTGAAATCCATGTTGCCTGCAGTATTTTCTGCACATCCTTTTGCGCTGATGCAGTGCATGTTAAAAGGCATGCAACGTCTTGTAACTGGGTCAGTGACACAAAGCCTGGTTGCTTAACTTATAAAGTAATGCCATAAACCATTATAATATTTGAAAGGGTATAAAAAGGTACTTGACTATTTACAAAATTCAAGTTAATTTTGTACAAAAGTGCATCAAATGTTTAATGTTTTCCAGGATGAAAATATTAAAAGAAAAGAACTCTTAAGAGCAGATGCAGATTAAGAAGATTCTTCGCTGTAGAAAAAGATCAAGAAACGTCTCTGTAAGTTAAACATTATGAATCTTCTTTGTACTCTGGCAACTTTAGTTCAGTTTTGCTTTCTCATAAATTATTATGCAAGGGAGCTGAACATGTTGCAGATAAAATCTTTTGAACATCGAATTCAATATACAGTATAGTAACTTTACATTTGTGGTAGCTTTTTGGGTGGCAAATCACCCTTGAGGTTTTTCACGTGTTTCAAAATTGACCATAAGAGTTAAATAAATACACATCAGGAAGAGACAAAAGAGTGATTGGCTAACGCTTGTCTCAAGGGCAGATTGTGGTCTGAAATTCTTGGGACAGATCTTTCAAAAGCTCGCTCTATTCTTCTCTTCAAACGGACGAGAAAAAAAGCACCTGGGCTCCATCCTGAAGCCAAGGAAACGAGAGCTCAAAGATCTGTGAAGGTACGACACGGAGGGCAGTGAATACACAGACGAAGAAGGCCCTAATGTCGCAACAGTGCAGGAACGCTAAGTGAGTGTGACAGTGCTGACTCTGGGGGGTCAGGGGTCGTGGCGTGGGACAGATCCAGTGCGCTGAATACGCCTTGCTTCAGCGGCCAATGCGGAGCTGTCTATGCGGTGCCACTGTGGTGTTGGGGAGCAGGGGGAGGTGGGTTGGTCCCTGAGTGTCGGGTCCCCTGTGGAAAAAGGTTGTCTGCTGGGGGGCCCTCAGCCTGCGTTACCGTTCTTCGGGCACTTTCCCGTTCGCCTCCTGCTCGTCCTCGTCTCTCCGCTTCTGCCTCCGGAAGAAGCCGATCTATCGAGAAGTTAGACAAGAGGTTACGGCAAGTTCATTGTTGTCAAGTAAAGTCCCCTGTGTGGGTTTACCATGAGTGTTCAGGGCCTTTCAGTTTGTTCAACGTTGTTGATGCATTTGTTTGCCTTATGTAAAGCACTGTTATGTATTTAACAACAACAACAATAAATGTATTACATATAAAGCACATTGAAACACTTGAAAGACGATCCACAGTAAAAAAACAACAACACATCCTTGCTTTCCCTTAAAAGGGAAGGTGACTTGATATTTGAATTAATATATGTGACTTTTATGTGTTAGGAGGTTAGATGTTTAGGCCAATGATCTTTGGTCACCTAGAGTTAGATTGTGTGTTTCAGTGAATGGCTCCTGCGTTGACCAAGAATGTAAAGCTGCCTTTGTTGATTGTCCTTCAAAATAAGGTTCTACATAGCTTACAGTATAGCTGTACCATTGTTTCTCAAAGTAGAAAAACATGCACATATAGGGAACTCACACGGTTTAACTGTTCAATTCATTGTATTTTTACTCTAGACATTCTGTTGCAGCCAAACCTTCTTTTCAATACAAAAATATAACCCTAAGCTATTTAAACACTGTTTAATACTGACATTTTGTGATAGCCTCT